TGAGCTGTTTATAAATAATTATTTATATGTTTACAGTATTTGCTTGTAATAATCCAGGTTCAATGAATCATAGAATGTTTTTCATGTCGAATGACTAATTGCTCTTGTGCCGCCCCTTTGTAGCGTTCAATAAGTAAACAACTAAATAAACAAGTTAATAAAAATAAATAAAAAACACGATAAGTGAATAAAAAAAGCAAACAAGTAAATAACTATTTATTCATGTGCATTATCAATATTCAGTAGCTCTCTGTAGAAGAGTGGTCCTGAATGTCCCCCGTTATCCTTTGTGGTTTGAGCGGCATTTTTCCTAATTGAAACTCATTTGAATAAATAAATAAATGATTTTATAAAAAGTTTAATAAAAAAGAAAAACATGTGATTATTTTAATCTGCATTATTAAATACGATTTATTCAAATGTAAATGAATTTACAGGATGCTGTGTACGACTGGTGTATTTCTTTACTGAAATCATTTCAATCCCTCATTGGAGTGCCACATAATGAACGATACAACAATGTGTTTTTCGGTGGTAAGTGTCGTTAAGATTCTTTTTTTATGTAACAGACGTAGTGTAGGGGTGGGAGGCGCTGTTCTGGTACGCCATTAGATCAGATCCTCCCAAATTCCTAATGGACTCTTCACTCATCTGAGATTCGATAATTGATGACAGACAAGACTTGCCATTTAGGAGGATAGAAAAATGATTAGATTGTCAAAAAACTAAATACTAAAAATCCATTAGCAAGTTAATCATGAAATTGTTGTCTCGGAATTTGAACTCGCATTTGTTTCTCCAATACGGCGCTCATAACCACTACGCTATTGAATTTATCAACCAAACAACTTCTTCTCGTGTTAGAGAGTCTCAATATGTAGCTATGAAAAACTGTTCATATGCTTTTTTGTCACACTCTGTATTCGGTGCTAAACCGAAGCATGTAATCAGCTTCATTTCCATTATGAATGGAATTCCGATGCGTGGCGCATTCTGTAGGTGTCCGCGGACTCTGAGCACCTCACACATTGATGTCTTAGGCCTAAATTTTGAAAATTGTTTTTGCTGGTCGATTCATGATCTGTCTTCAATTTCAGGTCTACTCGGATCGATGTTCAGTGCACTACAGTTCATTTCATCACCTACATTGGGGGCATTGTCGGATATTTATGGACGTCGTACTTTACTACTTTTATCATGCATTGGAACCTTGATATCCTACATTGTAAGTACACATTCTACTACTTTTCGGTTCATTATTTATTTTGCATCTCTTCGGAGCTCTCTTTTTCAATTTGTTGGTTTTTTGGATGATTCTTCCTACTTTTTTGGCCGATTTCTTTTCATAATTTATCTCTGCGAGCTGCACTTGAAGGAACTAAGCCCTCTCATCCTTCTCGACTCCCCTTTTTTTCTTTTTACCTATTCAATTTATTTAAATTCCAATTTCAATTTTATTTATTATATTATATATTTGTTTATTTTAATTTTGTATATTTCTAGACTCCTGTTTACTAATATTTCTGTAACGCTAGTTGATATTCGCATTATTTTTCTCATTATTTTCGTTTATGTTTTATCTCCCTGTTTGTTAATTTTTATGATTTCTTGAACTACCACGGGAAATATTGTAGATTTGTATGGTCAGTGATCGAAATGTCTACAAAAAATAGAAAAACTTGTTTTTTTTTTAAAAACGCTTCGGGCTCTCAGATAGATACTTGATAGAATGAGTGGTTCGTCGTCCTTATTGAAAGATCCCATGCCATTCACTGGATTGGACTGATACGCTTTTGAACATTCCTTATCCTGAAAAATTTCCACACTAAACAAATCTTTTNAGTGAGGACCCTTGTCTCTTAATTTCCTTTATTTTCCTTCAATCAGAAGTAATTCCAGATCTGGTTGAGAGCGGAGACGTTTTCTGTGTTCGTTTTATCCCGAATCATAGGAGGTCTCAGTAAAGCGAATGTCAATGTAGCCACGGCCATCGTTTCAGATGTCTTCAAGCCTGAAGACAATCCAAAGGGCATGGTTAGTTAAATTTGGTGGTTTTACGACATTTCACCTTTTTTCGAATTTTTTGATACATCTCATTATTCGTGTTGAATCGGAGTCCCAGGACGTTTCAAATACAATGGAAGCTTGATTTATTATTCTTCAAGTGGAACTAATCGAAGGGATGCCAAGCCGTAAAGAGAACATTTGATTCCGTTCATCTTCGATCCAGTGTCTATGTCTTTCGGACACCGTACTTGTCCGCTACACTATTCTGCACAGCTCTCCTCAGCTTCACCTGAAGTATTTCTTACAGTTGATCAGTCTAAACACTCATAATGCAATTAAACGATACCGTATGCTACTTGAAAAGCTGAGGAAGCTTCTGTGAACGCACGTGGGTCTACAGGATAAGCCCAGTGATCGAAAGGAATAGGGCTGAATTCAAATCACAGCTGAGGCACTTCATTTTGCCCATATTTGCCAATCACTTGACTTCAATAGCATAATACTTCCTTGTACAATGAAATGGAAAGTCCGAGTTGCAAGTCCTCAAAGAGATTGTTTAATGGCAAGAGGCGCCCTTACTACTCCGGCTTTGAAGGCGTTTGAACCAACCGAATGATATGCTCATTCGGAATTGTTGGAGCAAAATTGCTTGATTTGGTCAGTCGCTTAGTGACGCTAACAGACTAATCCTGGTACTCAATCAATCACTTACAAGTGCTTCGTATGAAAATCAGATGCATGGCACAATCATAAGCGGTTAATCATAAAGAGTACCTCGATTTTTATTTTCTAATTACAGTACAATTGAATGGCTTTATTTACTTTCTTATTGCTAATCTTCCAGGCACTTATTGGTATCTCATATTCTGTTGGATTTCTTATTGGACCAATGTTTGGTGCATATTTTTCAACGATAGCTCCTAAAGTTAGTGATGATGGAGGTTTTCATGAAGATTTTTCAGAATTTTCAATCCATACAAGCTCTATTCATCTGGAATCTGTCCTTTTTTAGGATTTCCCGCACTCCACTCCAGCCATATTTTCTATTGTTCTAACAGTTGTTGACTTCCTTTTAATTGCTTTTCTGCTTCCAGAGACTCTTAAGTTTGAAGAAAGAGTGAGTTTGGTAGAACATTGAAAAAAAATAGTAATTTATAATAAAAATAATATAGGGAAAATCCAAATCCAATAAAAATAGTCTAGGGGGGAGAGGGTTAAAATTGAGATTGAAATAAAATAAAGAATAAAATTAACAAGAATTGTGATAATGCAATAAGCTAAGCAATAGCAAAATAAAAAAAAANAAAAAAAAATTAGGATCAGAAATAATATAAACGCAGCTACAAATAAAATTAGGTCGGGAGCAAGATATAGTGAGAAATGGAGTGAAAAATAATCACTTCAAATAATTAAGGAACAATGGGCAATTGACAAAAAAAAAATAAAAAAAGGAGTAATGCTCACCGATTGAGCTTTTATCTTCCAATTTCCATTTTCTTTCAAAATATTCTCACAGACGCCGAAATCATGGCGTACCTTCATCAGTTGACTATGAACCACTTCAATTTTCAGAAGAAAGTTGAAGATATCAGTCAAAGGGCCATCCAGCTTACATCACCGAAAGAACTTTTCAAATTCTCAGCTGTAGAAGCTCCCACCGACAGTAAGACTTTCAAGTGCTATCGTTTCGAAATGGATTTTTTTACAAAATATAAATAATTTAGAAAAATTGGAAATGCAGAAGATCGGAATCATCTACTTTATCTACCTATTTTTATATGCCGGCATGGAGTTCACTCTACCTTTCCTGACCCATTTACGATTTAACTTCGACAAGTGAGTTCACACTGCTTGTATGGGGCGCGCGGTCGCGTCGCGCTCGCGTCTATCCCACGACGTTCGCCACGCACCGCGCCGCACATATTTACTGCCATACTGCCGGGTGGGTCTCCAGTCCCACTTTGATCATGGAATTTCGAGCAGTTTCTCAAGAATTAGGGCAAAATTTGCTAGTTTTAGTATGCAACAAGGAAAAATCTATCTATTCTCTGGTCTTCTGATGTTACCGATCCAGGGATATGTCGTCAGAAAAACTCCTATGGTCAGGTAAGTGTTAAGAAAATTGTATTCAGTTTTTTTTAGTATTGAATATAAAATTGAATAATTATGGATAATTAAAGTTATTTTGAGGCAAAAAAGGATAGCTGAAATTGGTATGATGTGCGTTGTACCGGCATTTCTGATAATTGCTCAAGCAACTAACCAATTCGTATTCTACTTGGGTCTTTTCCTATACGCTATAGGTAAGTGATCACTTCGGTATAACAATTCTGACAGTTGATTAGACACGTATTAATATTATACTTGTATTTATTATTATTTTTATTTATTTATTCATTCATTTGTAATATTTTTCAGCTTCGGCGACAGTGGTCAGTTCACTTACGTCCTTGGTGACGGTAGTGAACCCATCTATCGATAAAGGAGTTTTGGCAGGAGTTTTCCGAAGTCTTGGAGCTTTAGCCAGAGCTTTGGGACCAGCAGTCGCCGCAACATGTAAGTGAATTTTCTAAAGGCTTTTATTAAATACACAATAAGCTGGATTCGAAAATAAGCCTATAAGCAGACGTCGCTGTAAATGAGTAGGTGGGACTTTCTGGTACCTTCCCGCTTACCCTCAGGGTGTGTATTCGCTTGGCTCGATTAAAGTACCTCAGGTGCAAGTTGGCCATATATGTTTCTATGTAAAAATGTCACCTCCTTCCAGTGTGGAAAGGATTTTTTTCACGGTTACCATGAGCAATACCGGGTAGCCCCACCCACCGGTTTGTTTGGTGAAGGTGGCACCAGAAATTCCCGCCCACTTGATCAGTGCAGTTTCCAACCAGATCCACTGAAAATGCTAGTCAAGACTTTAAAAATTTCACAAAATGGTAGCAACATTGATTTAAATGTCCGATTTCTTCTACAATGTGCATTTTCAGTGTTCTGGCTGGCTGGACCGACTCGTTCCTACACTATCGGCGGAATTCTGCTCTTGGTTCCATTGATTCTTCTGAAGAAGCTTGAAAATCCAGTCAAAGAATCGAAAAAAGCCTTGTAAATATTGCTCCGCGAGGGCTCAAAGTTTTTTGCAACTTATGGTCGGGCTTCGATTTGTCGCTATGATGCAAAATACGGTTTTCGCTTATTTATTATGATAATATGATGTGATAATGTATATCAAATGTTAATTTTCGCCTTATCTGTACATTCTGCTTGATTATTAATTTAAATAAAGCGATATAAACAATGAGAAAGCTCTTGTGTAAACAAGAAGGCGCGTTCGAAACACACATGCCCTTTGAGGCTACCCATGTGGGAGGAATACCAAAAGTATATCACATTTTTACCACTCCTTACAACGGAGTTTTTTTTTTATAGTAAATAGGTGACTCGTATTCACCTCCTTCCCTGTACCCTGTATCTTCCCTGCTAAAGCCCGAAGCTTCGCCCTGAGAATGGATATTAACTTAAAGCCATCCCTTTTTAAACGGAATTTTCTTCAAATTGCTTTCAAAATAAAATTTTGTAAAGGAGAAAGAACTTATCCCTTCAGAAAGGCTGTGATTCTCAGAAAAAAGGTGCCGAAGGTTGGTTTATGGAATGCGATGCGTTGGCCAGAATTAATCCCCAGATCTACTTTAGCTCTAGCAGGGAGGGCAAAATTAGTAAATCAGTCGATTTTTGCTTTTGTTACCAGTTGTCTAGAAATATAAGAACGCTGACTTTGCTTTCCCACCACAGAGAACGAATAGTGTAGGGTAGATAGGCTTACAACCACCACCCGGATACTGAACCAGGAAGCTTTAAACGTGGCGTAGCCTAAACGAAAGAATAACTTTATAATACTATTTTTGAAGTGTCAAAAGGAGTATCAGGTAGAACTTCAGAAAAGTGCAACTTTCTTCGGAAAAACTCCAACTTCAATTCATTGAATTCAATCTCAAAGTATAGATTTCTCAAAAAAAATCAATTCGATCAATACGAGAACTTATACAAAGACTGAAAATCGATATCTAATATATACAAAGGCAAGAGAATCGTCTAAGAAACCGTCTAATAAAGTAAAAGGCAAGATATTCAGAATTTCTATAATCATATAAAGATATGTTACTCGCAAGGAAAATATTCGGCAAGACATCAAATCGTCAGATCGTCACAAGGCAAGATAACTAGAGATATCATGAATAGTCTGATATAACAATGAATAGAAATTCAATAAAAAAATCAGCAAAAAATCGGATCACCGCCTATTTGGTAAGACTAAAAATAACTAAAAATTTCTCCAAATAACTAGGTAGTAAGGAAAACAAAAAGGAAGTGCGTCACCGAGCTATGAATGATTTAAAGGTATCTGTAGAATCGACGTAGGAAAAATGAGGTTCATTTATAAAAATCTCCGAAGTACTCTAATGATCATCGAATTTTCCAGAAGAATCGAGTAAAGTGTGATCAAATCCTGACGATTCAACACCGTCAACATTTGGACTGCTCATAGAATCGTCATCCTCCTCCAGCTCATTTTCAGACTCCTCCAACAGACTCATAATCTGAGCCCGGACCTGAACAAGTAGGTAGGCACGTTTAGTGTAAATGGAGAGGCAGGCAAAGGAACAACGATTAAAAAAGTACTTGCAACGTTTTCGACCATCAAAATTTCAACTGTTCATCTAAACTTCGTTATCATTTATTTAATGTAAGGGTGATGGGCAATTGATGTTGCAATGGGAAGTGGCGCACTATCGCGCACGCAAGGTCACTGGTTCGCATCCCGGATTAATATCCGCCTAAACCAACCAAGTCTACCATCCCGACTAATTGGTACCAGACTCATCTGGGAGGATAAAAGCACTGACTTGTACATC